ATAAAACTTAAACCACTTCAATGCATTACTGATTCACTGTGGCCTTTTTTCATTTTATATTTTGTGTGTTGATCTTATATCCTGTAACTTTACTGAAATTACTTAGTTCCAGGAGTATTTTTTTAATAGATTCTTTAGGATTTTCTATGTAGACAATCATATCACTTACAAATACAATTTTTCCTTTCTGATCTTATGCCTTTTATTTATTTTTCTTGCTTTATTGCAGTGTTACATGCCTATATTGAATAAGAGCAGATATCCTTGTCTTCTTCTGATCTAAGGAGGAGGCATTCAGTCTTTCACTTTTAAGTGTGATGTCAACTATAGGGCTTCTTGTAGATGCTACTTATCAAGTTAAGAAAGTTCCCCCCTATTTCTAATTTTCTGAGAGTTTTTAATCATAAATAGGTGTTAGATTTTGCCAAATGCTTCTTCTATGTCAATTATAATCCTATGATTTTTCTTACTAATAATTTTTCTTAATCAATGTATCCACCAGTTATTATGGTGGATTACATTGATTAACTTTTTCATGCTAAAAAATTATATTTATGGAATAAACCTTACTGGTCATGGTGTATAATTCTTTTTAAGCATTACTGGATATTAATCACCAATATTTTATTGAGTTTTTTTGTGTCAGTGTTCATAAGAGATATTGATTGGTAGTTTTCTCTTTTTTTCATATTTCATGTTCTATATTAATATATACTAAAATTATAATTACTCTTATATTAAATGCTGATAATTTCTTGTGTTTTTAAAAATAATCCTTACACTACAAAAAGTTGGACATTGCTGGGCTAAGTAATCATGAATATCTCTTTTACTTTTGTGAAATCATAGTTCAATTCATGAACAATGCTCAGGCATTAGAGGGTGATGGAAAGACACATCCTGATGGAAAAGACAGACATCAATGTCTTTAAAAAGCAAGTGAGCATTTGGGGAAGAAAAAAATACTAATTATCTAAAATGGGGACAATCAGTTTTCCTTCAGACATCTTCCCAGTAACATTTAAAATTATGAGTAGGGTCTAAAAACTTATAATAAAAACAAAGTGCAATATAATGATTTAATATTTGACATTGTTTTTCAGGAATCAAGGCAGCAAATGAATCTTCTCAAACATGCAATAAATAATTTAGGAATATTGTGTGCCTTTGAGACCTTTGAGGAAAAAAATATCACTTGGTCAGTTGAATCCAAATAAAGAGCTCATAAAAAGAAAGGATTTAAAAACATCCTATCGGTAAGCAATGTTAAATTTAAATATAGAATTAAGATTTCTGAAAGAGTTTTCCATGATAACGCAGTCTAAAGCTGAAATGAGTTTATAGTTTTAATCATAATAACTTCAATTCCCTCCAAACTTCCATAATTTTTGTTTTTAACTTATGATGATCAACTCTGTAAATTTAGTAATTCTTTCAATTTCACTTCATTTTATTTTTTGCCAATCAAATTCAAGTGAAATTAAATTTAATGATTTTATTTATAAACTAGAGGCCTGGTGCACGAAATTCGTGCATTAGAGGGAGGGTCCATCAGCCCAGCCTGCCCCCTCTCATACTCCCAGAGCCCTCAGGGGATGTTCTACTGACAGCTTAGGCCCACTCCCTAGGCAGAAGTCTGGCCTCCCTCTGCAGGAGTGACTGGACAGATCAGGGGAAGGTGCCAACCCCATCACCCTGCTGCTGCTGCCACTGCTGGCCACTGCCACTGCCTGAGCCTCAGCCTGGCCCTCAAAGCAGCCACTGCAGCTCAGGCAGCTGCTGCAGCTTTATCTGGAAGACGTCCACTCTAATTAGCATATTACCCTTTTATTATATAGATAATTGGCACATTATATCCAATATTTCTAATGTGTCTTCTTCCTCCCTCCATCCCTTCTTCTTACCCTTTGTGACTATTTATGTCCATTGGGGAGATATGTCCTGAATGATATTCAGAAGATGTTGCTAATGGCTATTTCTTGATAATAAAATTTCAGAAGGTGTTGCTAATGGCTATTTCTTGATAATAAAATTTTGGCTATTTCTTGATAATAAAATTTTGCTAATGGCTATTTCTTGATAATAAAATTTATGTTTTTACAATTTCTTATAATAATTTTGTCATTTTTACAAAAAAAATGGGCATGTATTAAAAGACAAACAGAGAGAGACAGTGGAAAAGAAGAGGAAGAAGGAGGAGGAAGGGAAGAGAATAACATTTTTCAAGTATAGGTGCCACCACCATGATTCACCCATTTTTTCTATAATGGCTCCCAAGAAGAGTCAAACTAATTTAACTCAACAATCTTGTATTGTGTTCCTGAAATTTGGGAATGCTTTATAAAATGGTGTAATTACGCCTTGTTTGAAAATAGCATACTCATAAATAAGAACACTTTGAGCAACAAATTTTATTTTCAATTCAAGAAAATTGGTCCAAATCACAAATTCCAGCTAGATTTCATGCAGCACTCAGAGGTAGGGCAATTTAGGAGGACTGTAATTGTTACTACTTGGATTTATGTAACTTTTTAACTTTTGGCTTTGCAAGTTTACTTGTATTGACACTAAGTTTATACGTGACATCCATGCCAAATTTATAGATAATGAGACAAATTTTAGAGAGATAAATCTGAGAAAATGCTTGTAACAGCATCTTGAGTAGAACGATTCATGCTCAGTGTTACTTATACATCAGTGTTTAAGCAATCACATGAATAAAATGAAAACACAAAATACATAGATTTTCTTATTCATACTACTACTACTATGTTATCAGAAGGTCTTTAATTGAAAACCCATAAACACAAAGTAAGTTACATTTATCTCTTAGAGATAATAATTTAGTTAAAAATTAGCAGCCACACAGAAAGACATGCACACATTTATTTAAACATAGATTTCAAAGATTGGCATGCAACATTTTTGAATACTCTCTTTACCCCTGTACATTTTGGTAGGAATGAAATGAATGTATAGGTGCTCTTGTCCACCAAGCTATATTTTTTAAGGAAAAATTTATGATTATCTCTGAAATCCTTAAACATAAATTATCAAACTCCTTCACACTCTTGAAGACTCTTAAATTTATATAGCTGGGTATTATAAGAGTTGAACAGATAGATCTAATCAATATAAACCATAAACATTTGAATGATATGGGCTCCCCATCAGCCAATTTTTTCACCAAATCATTGCAGTTTGGAGTTGTAAAGGGCCATTTCTACATGAGTGGTTGTGAACTCAGGTGTGCACCTGGAGATCTTTCAAAAACATGCCTGAGCTCCTACTCCAAACCAATTAAATCAGGTAGCAATTCTCAACCTGTGGTCCCTGGACCAGCAGCATCTGTATCAGCAAAGAACTTGTTAGAAATGCAATGGGTAGGGGGCACATCAAACTTCCTGAATCAGAACCCCGGCAATCTGGGCTATAACTGGCTCCTCAGATGATGCCCTGCTTAGCAAGTGTGAGAACCATGCTCTCCGGTGAGGTCTGAGCACCTGTGCCTCCTCTCAAACCCCAGTTCATTCACGTGTGCTGTGGTTTTAAGGCTCATAACCCCCTCTGAATTCCTCTTTTACATGTAAGAATACTCAAGGCAGTGTTTCCATAAGCAACTTCCCAACAGAATTGGGAAATGTCCTGATGTCCGTCCCCTTTTTACAACACGCACAGTGTCCTCCTCACCTAGGCAGATGTCACTTGAGAAAGTCAAAGGTTTGTCCCTGACCCCAATGAGCTGCGTCATTGACATTTACCTCTTCAGCTACATCTTCGTGCCAACTACATTCCATTTAGAAGGAAAGTACCACAGTTCACGGTTTCCATTTCAAACAGTATTTTTTTCATAGTCGAGGCTGGGCGGCCCTGACAAATGGTGCCAAACAACAGCTTTGCGCTGATTTTTTTCTTCTAACGAGATGGGAAGACTTCTACTGAAAATCGACATAGCCCCACACACCTCTGCCTCCCTGGATCTTTTCTGTCTCTAAATGGAGACACCATCTGATTATTGGTACCTATGATGGCAAACCACAGCAGGACACCTGTTTACAATTCTGACCCTGGTTCTCTGACTTAGGGTTGTTGTGTGCCCCAGAACTCCACCTAGATTCCCCCTCTCTCATCAAAGACCAGGAAGCTCTGGCCCAGGGATGGCAGACAGCCCCTTCCCTGATGAAACTGGAGAGTGACCAATATCTCTTGGCATGCCCAGAAATCTGTTCCCCGGCAAGCAGGATGAGGTGGCTTAACCTAAAGGGACACCAAAACCTTTAGCTTATAGGGTTGGTGCTTCACACAATTGTCTGACTATGGCAAACTCAGCCAGACTTCAGATGCAGAACGGCCCGCTGAAGTTATTTCCACAAAGTCTACCGAAGCAAGAAGCTTACTCAGCACCCCCCTTCCACAATGACCCTGTCACCAGGGCTGCACTCAGGACAGAACTCGAGTCCTCAGACACTCAGGACTAAGGCTGCTGAGCAGTGGCGAGTGTGCATTCAGGACCGAGCAGTGAGAGGCGCCAGCACAGCAGAGGAGCAGGCGCCCAGGACCTGATGTATCTCCAAAGGTCTCCTGCCATCAAGGAGGTGCACCCAGGGGCCCAGGGTGGCAGCTGCCATTAGACAGTGAGTGTAGGGGAACCTGCCAGTGAGGAACCCAGCATCTGGGGTCTGTGGCACTGTCACCATAAACAATCCTGATGCCTAAGGACACACGACCTGCTTTCCTTACACAAGCTGGCTGTATGCAGACACAGCTCACTAAGGTGACCAGATCGTCCAGGTGTTGGTGGGATAGTCCTAATTTCTAACAATTTTTCCCACATCCCACAGCATTTTTTAAAAAGTCTCAATTTTTGGAAAGAATCTTTTCAATGTTTCCAATGTTTCCAAAAATCAGGACTTTTTTTAAAATGCCACAGGATGCAGGAAAAATTGTTAGAAATCAGGACTGTCCCGCCAACACCTGGACAATCTGGTTACCTTACAGCTCACACCAAGGAGGCCTCAAGCATCTCAAATTGTTCCTCAGGCTCAATTTTTCCACTTCGAAAGGAGAAAATATCAAAGTACAGTACCAATTAGAATCAGATAAAATCATCGTTCGGTATATTTTTTTCTTTTCAAGGCATCAAGTAACCATCAGCATGCTAGGCCACCCACTATTTCTCTACGTAGTTTTTTATTTGTATTTGTATTTGTATTTTATTTTATTTTATTTTATTTTACTTTTTCATCACCACTTATTTTCTCTATGCCTTCTTCCACCTCCACCCACACCTCACACCCCAGAAATCACTTGTTGTTAAAACAAACAAGTCATTAAACAAAGCCACAAACATCTACTTGACAAATAACCTAACATCCAACATTTTTTTTAATGACCAAGAGAAATATAAGCTATTCACAAATGTAAAGCCTGGGGGATATTCTCAACCAGCATAGAGCAACATTTACAAAATGTAGATGTTTCCAGAGGAAGCAGACATTGATATATTTACCCAATTTACACGACTGTGGTTTATGTATGTGCATTTAATAAACCCCTTCAAGCAAGAGCATGATGAAGCTAACAATACGTTACTTTCTGGGTGTTCTGCGTGTACGCTGCCTCAACACCAGCGTTTCAGAACTTGAGGGAAGGAAACGGATGTTCAGATAAATTGTCCTGTCCTGCTCAGAAGAAGCCTGGCCTTGGGGGTTCAATTAACCCGTCAGAATTATTACTGCCTTGTCTCAAGGTATCTGAGATGCCAGGCAAATGCAATCACCCGTGAGATCACAGTGTAGAGCTTAGTCACACGAAGCCTTCGTCAGTGTGACTCATGCAGTTCAGCTGTCAGCCCTCCTCTCGGCTCTAACTCATCCCAGCTGAGGCCGAACAGGAATTTTCCTGTGGTGGGTATCTGAGTGAGGAGGTCCAGGTAGAAGCAAATTACCAGCGAAGCACAATACCAAGTTGGGGGGCAGTGGGAAGTAGACGAGGAAAATGGTGCTTTCATCCTAACGTGCAGTTCAATTTTATTAACAGCAAACATATTTACCTAAAATGTGCAGGAAACAGCCTCCACCCACGTTGCTGAGCACATGCAAGGCCAGAATAGGAGAGAGAGGATCTTTTTAAGGTTCCTCCTGGGAGCACAGGACCAGAGAGCCTTTCCGGCCTTGTCCCTGTATTCATCAGTAGGAAGCTGAAACTGGGGCTTATTCATAAAGCAGCAAGCACTTGCATATTCCAGAGCCTGTCTCCCTGCGTGGAAGCAAAATGCCCTGAAAAGCAACCACTGCCTTGGCACTGAGGCAGCCAAATCTAAGGAGGAACTATCCCTTTGATTTGAAGTTCACTGAAAAATCAGGTTTCCAAGCAGCTGACGTCAAAGGCACACGCAGTGCTTCTCCCTGAGCCTGGCGGCTGGAGAAAAAAAAAGCGTGTTGGCTGCCATCTGTCCTTTCTGAAGAAAACAGGGTGCTTCTGAATGGATCACCACATCGGGCATTAGGAAGGCAGCCACCTAGGAAAGGCACGCACGCCTCAGATGCTCCTTGGGAATAGGAGTCTGTGACAAGTTCTCTGGAAAACGTAGGTTTAGATCTTTGCAGGATGGAAGTTTTCATCAGGATCAAAATTTGCTATAGAAGTAAACAACCTAAACTCTGAATGAGATGCATGGACTGAAACGGCGGTGGGCGGGAAGGATACCTTAAAACTATAAAATGAATTGAAGTGCATTATCAACTCAGCAAACTGGGGGTTCTCAGGCAAGTTATCACTCCGGCACTGAGCCTTTGGCTTCCGTGGCACCAACGGCATCTGGGAGGGACTGAAGAAGGCATGGTGTGGGTCAATGCATTGTGCTGAAGCATTTTCCCTGTGTCTTAGAAACATAAACATTTTTAAAACACTTCCATGTGTGTGTGCGTAGAAATCAGAAGAGGAAACAAGGGGACAGACAGCCATGGCACAGGAAGCTGCTGTCATCCACACAGGTCCCGAGGCCTCCAGCAGTGCTGTGTGTACAGAAGCTGATCTGGTATTTGCAACTTCAAGCTCCACAAGCACATGAGGTATCATTGTCAGGATATGACGTCTCTGCCACTGTATTTGAATAAAATGCAAAAAGATTTCCACACACAGGACTTAGGCTGTTCTTTAAAATACTCACATCCACATACACACCACTGCTCTCCACGGCCAGCAAGCATGAGGCTCAGAATCCCATCCTCTCCAAGGATTTTCTCCTCATCTGTCCAGAGACATCACAAATGAAACCCTTTGAGCTGGAGGAATGTAACTCGTGATCATCAATTGTGAGCTAGAGAAGTCAGCGTGCAAAGACTTACACTGAGTCTGTTTTTTGCCCTAAAATGTGATATTTTACATGGAGTCCTGATCTGACATAGGTGTACCTTAAACAAAACCTTTTTTGTAATCTTCATCCTTTTGTCTCCTCCTAAAATATATCAGGGTCTTGCATTCAGAAAGGTGTCTTCTAATATGGGATCACTTGATCTTTTTATGCCATTGCCTCATTGTAAACATGAATAGATATGTCATTGTGATGAAAACCACATTTGAAACTCGAGTGGTGATGATTTCAACCCCAAATTAACATTTCCAGAGGGAGTAATGTGTGGGGTAAATGAGCAATAACATTATTGCAATTCAATAAAAAAAGCACTTGTTTGTACTAGAAAGGACATCCCTAGGTGGATATCCCTCATGTTTTCTTCCAGCGTTACCGGAGCTGAGCACTCAGCCCACTGTCCCCACGCAGCCTGCCCACCCCGTCCTGTGACTCACTGAATTCTGACTGCTCTTCGGACCCTAGAAATTATTACCTACACATCATGCTCACTGACATTTCTTTAATTCTCTCTTTTGAATTGGTTCCACTTAAGACATAGCTAAATTCTTGGCTAAGAATACATATAATTTAATGCCCAGTTTCATTGTCAAGAACTCATTCACAGCTTCCACTGCTAGCATAGTTGTACTTGGCACTTTTCTCTGAATTTTACTTTTTCAGCCAACTCTACAAAGCCCAGGTTCACGGGGTAGGTTTCATGTGACCTTGGACCAATAGCTCATACCCAAGAGTCATGTGACCAACAGCTCACACCGAGAGTCACTGCTGAAACACCCCTTTGAGCTCCTGAGACCAACTCAAAGGACCTTGTGGTCGCAGCTGGAGGCAGTGCACGGTCTGAGTTCTGTGCACCACTCACAGCCCACAGCAAAGGTGACCTGTGCAAACACACTGGACAAAGTCTGAACCCCGCTATGCAAATGGCCACAAAAATAACACCAGTGAACATTTTCACTGTCCAGATCATAATTTGTAATGTTATCCCTTTTCTTAAAATTGAAGAACTAAAGCATAAATTTCTTTCCTAATAAATTCTGCTCCAAAATATAGATAATAAACATTCCTGACCATACGTAAAGGTTAAATCCTTATTCTGTAAAGAATAGAAATATCTATGGAATTCTATTAAACTTTCATTTCTTAAGAGGCAGCATTTTCTTTTCCTTTTTAGAAATAGAATTTCTAAATTAAATAAAATTTGGAAGTAATTTCTTCTAGACCTAGGGATTTCCTAAATGACCCAAAGTACTTTTTAAGCACAAGTAGAATTTAGCCAAAACAATATGAATTGTTGTTAAGGTAACAGGTATAGCCTTCCTAAACCTCCGCCCCACACCTCCCCCTTCCCCTTGTGTTTGTACATGCCTGGTCCACATGGGGAAAACACCATGCAAGGCCCACACACACCTTCCTTCACACGTGCGTGCAGTTGGTGGATGGTGGGGTGTCCAATCGACTTCTGTTTTCTTTGGCGTTGCTGAGGGAGGACTTGCCACACACATGGCACTTGAACACCTGCTTGTAGGCCTTCCTGAAGTTCTCGGAGAGGAAGGCATAGATGATGGGGTTCACGGAGGAGTTGCTGTAGGCCAGGCAGTGCGCTGTGACGCGGAAGATGAAGGACGCGGGAGTTAGCGGGAAGACCCCAAACTCGACCCACAGGTGGATGACATGATGCGGCAGCCAGGAGATCCCGAAGACCACGACCACAACCAGGACCGTCTGTGCCGTCTGGGGACAATGGAGGTGGGGGAGGGCGGGGGGAGGAGGAAGGCACATCAGTCCCGACAGGAAAGAACCCAGCATTGCAAACACATCCTAAGATAATCTCATGACTCTTCCCATGGGATCCAATGGATACTAAATCTGTGCTCGGCATTGACCTTCAGGTCACAGATTGGTTTTGTTCAAACTTCTCCAGGGCCTGGCATGACCTGGCACAGAAATAACTTAGCTGTGTGTGTGAAGTGCGTGTGAAGGGTGGGACTGGTGCTTAGGTCATAGGAATAGATAGGTCTAGAGATTCAACACGGTCCCTTCAAAACCTTCAGCAGCACCTGGAGCCTGCCCTGAGCAGTGGCCTCCACAGAGACATGCTTCACATTTTAGGGCAGATGTTTAGTTCTCTTCCTCAGTCTTTGGCAAGTTAAGGATACGAGTCTATCCCAGAGACGGTGTGGGTTTCAGTCTGTAGACCAATGAAACCACTTGCTGGCACTGTAAACCTTCCTGTGCTCCTAACCCAGCAATACCCAGAGGCAGGGTCCCTGTGTGTGAGTGAGGGGGTGTCTAGGGAGCAGGAATGGGCAGTCCTCCCCATAAGGACTTCAGCAGGGCCGAGTCTCCCTGCCTGCCCTCTGTCCCCTCCTGCCTCCCTCTCCCTGCACACTGCATGGAGACACTCACGTCACCTTCTCCAGGGCTGCAAACCTGCGGGCTGGGGCCAAGTACATGTTGAAAGGCAACTACGAAGCTGCTGTGATAAGCTGACACTCCATCTCTAGGAGTCAGTCAGACATGGTGATCCACTGATATTTTTTAAACTATAAAATGCAAAGCAATCAGCTGGTTCCTTCCTTCAAGGGTGGCCTCCTCCACCGAGTGAAGCTGAGGAAGCAGCAGGGCCTAGCTGTCTAACGCTGACAGCAGAAACGGGGCCGCGAGGATGGCATTGAGGACTGTGTGACCCGCTGAGACCACTCCCCATCTGCCCCCTGAATGGCTAGGACACAGGCAGGAACTGCTCAGAACTTCTAGTTACCATCAACCGCCTTCCACCCGCCTGCCTGGACTTCCTCATCTGTGCCTCCGAATCACCTGACCACAGGTGTACACAGGTGGCAGGATTAGATGTTACTGCAGGAGGCACAAAGCAAACAAGTGATCAGCTCAGATGCATTAGGGGACCGTCTGCTCTCCATTCATTTCTCTCTCAGCGCAGAAGACACTGGTTCCCAGATCACGGAGCCAAAACCACTTAAAGGTCCTTCCACCTGCAAATGGAAAACATCACCTTCTTCCTAAGACAACAAGAGCATCTCTACTTCACAACACAGATGCCCCCTGGACATTGTCTCTGGCCTCTGTTAGGGAGTACCTGCCAAGTACCAAGCTTAGGGCAGGAGGAGAGCCAGCAGCTCGTGGATTAGCAACTAGGGTTGGAGGACCCACAGGGAAATGCAAGGCCTCTCACTGTGTATTTGGGTGATTCAAAATCTACCTTTTTACTATTCATAATCTCTGGTCTGTTCAGAACCAGGAACAAGACTATTTTTGTTGATCAACCTGTAGCTTTCAAATGAGACTGGGTTACAATTTGCAATATAATATCAGGAAAGAACACTTAGTGGCCACTTCCATAGACTGTGTCATTTATCTAAGGCTATTCCCAAAAGAGTTAACTAGAATGCTCCCCACTAAGCATCCATAAGGCTTCTCTATGCTCCCCATCTCACACATCTCAACCCATCAATGGTGAAATTGTGTTGGCCAGGGCACTGACAGTACCCTGGCAGTTCCCAGGTGACTCCAGGTCAGCTCAGCGATGTTAACTCTAGCAAATGAGTCCATGTGCACCCTTAGACACAGCATATTGTTCATCCATGTGGCCCGCACATGGTTGTCTCCTATCTCCCTTGCACAGAGAGTCCTAGCCCTCCAAGCCCAAGGGGCTGAGAAGCTGGGAGGAGATAGGGGGAATAGGAGGGAATATGAGTATAGGGAAGAAGCCCTCACATGTGGGCAGAATACAATCCTTCAGTCACTATTGCTTCCCATGCTGGCTGGATGTTGACAATCTGGTCAGAACAACCGCCAAGCTGAGGCTGAGAAAGTTGGACATGCTCATCCCTGCCAGGGCATGGCTCCTACAGACCTCAGATATCTGGGCCTCAGCCCCACGGCTCAGGAAGTTTCTAAACATCTCAGGTGTTTGAAGAACCACTGATAAAGACCACAACAAAAGCAAATCATTTTGCTCACTTCCAGTTAAAGGTGAAGTTGTTTCCTCAATGTTCACTACCCCTGATTCTACACACACATACATACAAGCCGTATTCTCCCCAGAAAGACTTGGAAAAGCTGCTTCCTCTCTTTCCCTTTGAAATGTCAGGCTATGGGAAAGAATGTCCTTCAATGGATAATGAGGATGATTTCTTACAGAGCTTTTCTTCATTTCCTACAGCATCGGCCTGAATGAGAGATGGATTTGAGCCTGGTGTATGTACCACTGTGCTCAGCAGTCCACACAGAGTGTGGAATTCCAGCCCAGGGCCACCATCTGCAGGCATATCCTGAGCCTATACACTGCCTCCTCCACCTGGGGGTGGGTATTTGTAGGTTTCTTTTTGCTCCTTAGGCTGAAAGTATCTGAAAAACATTCATCACTCATCTTCCTGGGACATGCTCTTTTTCAAGTCATCTTAGACATCTGTTTTGGGGTTTTTTCTTCAAAGAATTTTGCTCAAAATATGTCTAATGGAACTAGGCTGGACAGAAAAAAAAAAAAAAGTACCTAAAAGATGAGAATGATAAAAAAACAACAACAACAACAACAAAAAAAAACCCATGCTGTGATTGTATAAATGACTGTCAAAGAGCTTGCTGAATACTTCCAGCCAGAAGGAGAAGAGTCAGTGAAAGAACCCAGTGGCTGACATGGTGTCAAGAGGACCCCTGTTCCAGGTTCCTCTTGGCCGTGACCAACCCATATGACGTCTGTCCCATTCTGATGGCTTGCAAAGGCTATTCCAGAGCTCATCTTAGTATCTGACCAGCCTGTGGCAGAAAGCATTCCCCTATGTCTAGCTGTGCTTGAGCACAGCGCTGGCTCCATCGCAGGGCTCTATGATGCCATTGCTATTATTCCTGAGTGAAAATTACATCCTCCTTCTGTATTTCCCCCCAAATATGGAGGACAGCTGCCTGGGGATCCCTGTGTGGATAGATACAGCTCAGAGACAGAAAGCTGGACTTAGCCACAGAGAGCAGAAACTGGGAACAAGTGAAGCTGAAGTGAGTGAGCTGTGACCATCCGAGCTCCATGGAGCCATCATCCAGCAGGCACTATGCAGAGACCCGGGGGTAGGGAGTCCTTCTGTTCCCTGCCTTTGGGAACTTCCCATTGAGCCTGGCTGTCTACCCCAGACCTCCGTCTTCTTTCTCCTCTCTCTACCCTCTTCTTACCCTCCCCTGCACCTCTCTGCTCTCTCTTTCTTAGACACGTACACACACAGACGCACGTACTATACTTTATTTGTTCTGTGCAAACAAGGAGGCAATTAAATATATCAAAGGAGAACTTCTGACATCTGTTCAGATGCTATTACAGGTCAGAGGCTGTGAGAATGGAAGAGAAACTCTGCCTCCCTTCTCCAAATACCCTCTCCTCGGATAAGAATTACACACACACACACACACACACACATATATATAATACACATACATACACACATATTTACATGCACATTACACACACATACAAATTGAATGAAGTAATATTAAACTAGTTACTAATCTTTAGACCTTGTTATTGTAAAATAAAACAGAAGTTTTTCTTGTCATTTTTTATAAGACCTGTTCTCATTCTTTTAAGCCTGTTCTCATTCTCTTAAACCATGTTTTTCTCTGGGACTTTCACAGGTTTTCTCCAATACTTTTCAAATATAAGAACTAAAATCACCATTGCATGCCGATGAGATCCAGCTAGCCTTAAAGAAATGCTTCGTTTCATCCCTGTTGCTGAGCACAAAATTTCACGCATCAATGACAATCTGTATCATGGGTAAGCAGCATCACCTCCTGGGAGTTCAGCCAGCATCCCCCCTCCCAGGGTCCCCAGGTGGACAAGGCTCATTCCTGTCCCTCTGCAGGGTTGGAGCCCGTGGCCACTGGTCCTGTGCAGGGCAGAAGCTCTGCAAATAACCATCCAAGGGCAAGTATTATATAATGACACTTAATTGTTTTTAATGCATCCCTTTCTTGGAGATGAGGAGTGTGGCTCAGAGGGTAAACTAAGAGATAGATTAAAAACAAGGCCTCACTGAACACAGGCAGAAAACACCCACTCCACCCCACCCCACAATTTTAAGCTGCTGTGCAGACGAGTCCACATGCTGGAATAAGCCTGTGTGACTGATGGCTGCCCAGACACAAGGACAGACACTGGAAGGGGCACGAAGACAGGCCTGCCGCCCACACTGTGCCTTTCACTGTCAGTTGCTTCTCCTAAAAATTATCTGGTTGTATTTCAAATGCAAGCTGGATTGTGGCTTTTTAACCAATTGTCTATTATTTCTATCCATCACCTTTGGGAACAAATGTATGTTTCCTACATCATCGCTTATCAACAAGTGAAATCCAGAAGAGCTGTGCTTTACTTAGGTCAGATTCTAAAAAATAAATATAATTAAAATATAATTTCTGCAAATTACTTGTCATTCATCACAATAAATATTTAGAAGGAAAAACAACATATTTAAGATGTTATGTCCAATATTTAGGGGTAGCAATGTCTGTTTATAATCTCCTCTCCCCTATTTAGGGGTAGCAATGTCTGTTTATAATCTCCTCTCCCCTACAAATAATCTCATTCTATTTTTTAAAATTAGACATTATACAGATGTTAACTGAGTACGAGTTAAATTAACCCTATTTGTAAAATAGCTTTTTCCTCAAAATGTAAAATGTCAAAAATAGCAGGATGTTACATGGGTTAACATCACTCAGTTTAGACAGAATTAACCTGATAATAAAGTCAATTAAAAATGGGGCCTTGGCCGAGGTGACTCAGTGGTTAAGCTCTGACTTATGAACCAGGAGTTCACGGTTCCATTCCTGATCAAGGGCACATGCCCAGGTTGTGAGCTTGATCCTCAGTAGGGGGCATGCAGGAGGCAGTCATCAATGATTTTTCTCTCTCATCATTGATATTTCTATTTCTCTCTCTCCCCCTCCGTTCCTCTCTGAAATCAATTTTTAAAAAAATTTTTTAAATGGGTAGAATCCCCCTCAGAGACTTCTCCCAGTTGTAAATCTCCTCCCAAGACCAACATCAGCATAGGTCTAAAAGGGACAGAGAACGATAGTGCCTCCTCATGGGCTTAAGAGACAGATTCCTTCCCTTCAAAGACAGGCAAGCCAGGGCCTTCTGGGGTCACACCAGAGATGGGAAATACACAATAAAATGACTGCAGATCATACAAATTTTGGATGTGGTAATTCTACTACACTCAGTCCCAATCAAGCTAGGACACAGCTCCTATAGAGGCTCAGAACCCCAAACCTCCATCTACATTTTAATGCTTTGCTTTAGTGGTCTATGTTATATGCACATATTCATGCATCCTGATGCATCCCAGTGAAGGTTTGTCATAAAAAGAGGAAGAATGAAGGTATCATGATGGGTTGCTAAGAGTTTTCTTTAGGAGTAATGATGATGTCATGGTGACATTTGCTTTTGCAGAAGCAAATGGTTCTCCAGAGCTGATTTTGTGTCTCCATTCTACACCTAACAGTAAGAACTTCCCTTCTAACACCTGTCCTTAGGAACCAAAGTTTCACAGGTATTGAATGGATATGAGGATAATTAAGGATAAAAACAGCTCTCACTGGTATGGCTCAGTGGATAGAGTGTCAGCCTGTGAACTGAAGGTTCCTGGGTTTGAGACAGGTCAAGGGCACGTGCCCGGTTTGCAGGCTCAATCCCCAGTGGGGAGTGTGCAGGAGGCAATCGATCAATGATTCTCTTTTATCATTGGTGTTTCTATCTCCCTCTCCCTTTCTTTCTAAAATCAATAAAAATACATTTAAACAATATTTTTTAAAAGAATAAAAACTAAGCTGTAAACAGTGACATAAATAATATAGATTTGCAAATATTACCTTTTTCTTTGATGCCTCTGACTTCTTCGACATGTTCTTCAAGTTTTTATGCAAATGATTAAGAACCTGAAAAACACACACGAATGAAATCAGTTTGCCTCATGTCCCATAATTCACTGTCTTTTTGTACTGGCAATTCTTGGAATTTTGAAAGAGTAACACCACTATTTATAAAATCATTCAAAATGAAATACAAATAAGGGATAACATAATGATGATTGTGAATTGCCTACTGCACCCATATCCAGGTGCAGATCGTGGTCAGAGCACCTGAAACAGAATGTTCCTGTGCAAGTCGCTCTAGAGTTTTGTCCAAAAAGAGTCACACCACTACCCATCCTTGTTAGTTCACCTTCAACCTGGATTTTCCCCAAGGTTATCTGTCCTCACCATCCTCAGGTCTCGATAAACGTTGGACACAATGTTTAATCCCAGATATGCACAAAAGCTAGATGTCCGTTGCTCTTTTCTCTTTGCCACCTGTCTTCACTACAAGTATCCTTAAAGCAAATTTCCACCCATTAGGCCTCCTTTCATTCTTTGTTCAAACCATAATCATTGTGGTGAGCTGTGAAACAACCTACACTTGGAGAATCCGGCCTCACTCACAATCCGTACACTATCGGCGATGTCTGACAATAAATGCTCTGTCAGAAGTCTTCTTGGGAGACATGGCTTTCCTTGATCAGAGAAACTATCTTTGTCTTCTCTTGCCAGTGTGACAGACAGGAGAAACAATGTGGAGCATTTGCCTCACATAGTGCAGGAGTTTCTAGCAGGCCCATACCAGACAGGTGTGGGAACTACTTTCATATCCCATCTGAGTGGAAATCTAAGTAAAAGTGGCCTCTGATTGACTACGGGCTTTAGATTGTCCGTCAGTTGCTGAGTGAGTCTCTCCAAGAACTCAAACACATTCTAGCCGCATCCCCGTTTCCTTCTGGCACCACAGCATGGAAATAATTTTATCAAATTGGACTTCTTGCCAAAGCCCACCTCATGAACTACTCAACTGTACTCCTTAGGTGTTACTGAGATGTCCATGAACTGGGTGCAGACTTCTAGGTAATCAGTCATACCTAATAGAAAACCAGATTTATCAACCAAACTTGGGGCCCTACAATGGTTAAGTTGTCACTGGGGTGTGAATTTCTGGCACCAGATCCCCAGCTCTGTTAAAACACTTCTCATTTCCTACAGTGATGTAGCATTATCTGTAAGACAAGACTTTCACCTGCTACAGTAGCACTGGGATCACCCTCATTATGTTGCAATGGGTTAGGTCAGTAGTTGGCAAACTCATTAGCCAACACAGCCAAATATCAATAGGACAACGATTGAAATTTCTTTTGAGAGCCAAAAACCGACTTCTGTGCATGGACCACGAAGTTTTAGTAGCGTTCTACGTGCATGCCCGCACGTGGTATTTTGTGGAAGAGCCACATTCAAGGGGCGAAAGAGCCGCATGTGGCTTGTAAGCCACAGTTTGCCGACCACTGGGTTAGGTTACTATTCTGCCAGTGGAAATCATGGTACCAAAAATTGGATGGAAGGAGCTTTTTCAGAAGCAAATGAGAAAGTTTTTCAAGGGAGAGGTAGAAGCCAGAAGCAGGATGCTGCCTAGAGAGGACTGGCATGGAGAGGTTCCTCAGTAGCAGCCTCCCCAGCAGGAGACCACAGGGGGACACTGGTCACTGAGGACAAGGGATAAAAAGAGAGAACAAAGAAGAGGCAGCAAAACAAAACCAGAGGGGGACACCTGGAAAGGAAGTCAAAACAGAAATGTCAAATGTTATCTGCTTCCTAATGCTGTTCGGGTCTATTCAACAAACTGTGGGTGACATCTCAGTAACACCTAAAGAGTGTTGTTGAGTAGTTCATGGGCAAAAAAAAACAACTGTGCTGTTCCTAGCTCTGCTTTGCTTTAGTGGTCTATGTTATGTGCACATATTCATGCATCCTAATGCATCCCAGTGAAGGTTTGTCATAAAAAGAGGAAGAATGAAGGTATCATGATGGGTTGCTAAGAGCTTTCTTTAGGAGTAATGATGAAGTCATAGTGGCATCTCTGCTCTGCTCTATGCACTTAGAAGTACGTGTAGGAAGTATGTGTAGGAGGCATATACTCAAATCCGAGCCAGCTCATTATGAGCACCAGATTCACCTGGGAGTGTGGAGACACTTGGCAGGATGAGCATGTCACAAGTAATGGATGTCTGAACTTAACATTCAGGTAGCAAAATCCTTAACTGATGAGTTTACACTTGATGGTTGAACTAAAGAAAAGCAACTTGACATTACATATTATCTCCATCTGTTCAAGCCACGAAGTGAATTTGCTTAATTACGATGTATTCAAAATATGATTTGGACTTATGCTTAAAAGCAAACTATCTCCATATTTTAAAAAATCCGTATGATCATTTGTTTACTGAATTTTTAAAAACCATTTTCAAACTTTGCTCTAAGAAAGACATGTAGCCTAATTTATTTCTAGAAGTTTACCTCGGTCATTTCCATTAAGAAGACCTAAAAACCTCCAGGAAATAAAGAAATTATGCTTCAGTTCTAATCTATGTAATTATGAATTAAAAAGTACATCTGTGAACAACCCCTCTTGTCCCAAGCATCATGTCTCCAAGGTCCTTACCAACTGTACCCTCCATCAGAGGACAGGGAATCCCTGCATTGAAATCCTTCCTGAACCATTTGCTAGCTTCCTGATCTGATCAGTTGTTTCATTCCTCCAAAACCCCTTTCCCTTATCAATGAAACAGGGACCAGAGCTCCAGCCTAGGGGTTAAATGATCCAGGGCACATGTCAGGCTGTTGCGCTGTGCAGAGAGAGCTCTGTTCTCTATTAGCAGAGGCCCCTGAGTAAGCCAGCCATTTACCAAAGAGCTAAGCTAGAGTTCTTTTCTAAATTCCTTATTCCTTTCATGCAGGCCATTTTTAAAAATAATATCCAATACTATCACCATTCAAAACAGACATAACTCTGCATGGATGGTATGGGTTGGGGATAAAATCCAGGTGGCTTATATTAAATATTATTGGTGAGAATAGTACTTTCTAAACTGAATAAAATTATTGTTGTACCTCATCTGGTTATTCATGCCACTGCAGTCAGAGCCATATCAGAAATAGAATGAGACTCACCAAGAGATGGAGATAATGTGGTGGAATTTCAGAATTGGGGTCCAAAGGTGTTTCTCTGATGGTGATGGTAACTCCCAGACTGCATGCTGGGGACATTGGGTTTTACCTCTCAGTCAGAAATCATATGGGTATTAGGCATATGCTTTTTTACGCAAATATAAACAAGTTGTGTGAAATGTTAAAGACTTTTGATTTGTATGAAATCTTCAAAACCCACGTGTTATTAATGCCAGAGAAGGTGGGTCTGCTGAGCGCTACGGGTACTAGTTGAAAGAAGAGTAAGGACAATGTCAGTGCGCATGAGCAGGTCAGGGGAGCTGGACCAGGTGTGCCCTCCCCAGGGAGGGAGTCAGTGGGATCTGCCACGTGAGTCACTTACCTCCTTTACACAACCTCTCTAAAAGGACACCCATTCATCCCAAGTTCTCTGGAGACGCAGTCAGGACTCTGTGAAGAAATGCTGCTTTCCCACTGGGTTTACATGGCTAAACTTCTGTGTGAAATAAAATTGAAGTTCTATCCCCAGGGCAATGGTTCTACAGAGCCAGGTCCCACCCAGCCTCCTTTATGGGAGTCACCTCCTCATGTCCCAGCTGAGTGCTGGCCAGGGGACAAGGGGCCCCGCCACAGGGCAAAAGGCCCACAGGCTCAGAGTGTCGGGTGCTCCTGGTGACTGCAGTCTCAGGCAGGCTGGCCAGGTTTGAGGAGCTAAACCTGAGCAGGTTTCCCTGTGCCTAGAGGCTGAGCCTGAGCCTGCCTGTCTGCTGCCAGGACAACCTGGGGTGGCAGAAGGCTGCCACCTGGGGGTAAGTGGGACTCTGGGAACTTTCCTAGCGTCTCCCAAACTCCTGGTAACTTTCTCCACATCAAGCTGGCAAACCGGTGGTGGCGACAGGGACCAGGACAAAACGGTGGGGACTTGGAAAGGGGAATGGGGACACGCAGAGAAACCCCAGGGCCTTCTCATCCCAGGCCCTACAGCCAGCTACGCCCCCCATCCCTGCCCATACCTACCTTGGCATAGCAGAAGCAGATGAGCAGCAGGGGCAGCAGGTAGCCAAAGACAAAGGTGCACACCACGTAAGCCTTCTTGTGGTGCTGGTCGGGCCATTGTTCCCAGCAGAAGGTCAGGTTGCCGTTGTTGCCAGACTCCCGGTGGAAGAGGCGCTGGTGGTAGGCCACCGGGGAGGCCATGGCGATGGACAGCGCCCAGATGCAGCCCATGCCCAGCAGCGCGTTGCGGGACACCCGCAGGGAGGAGGAGCGCCTGGAGTGCACAATGGCCACGTACCGGTCCACGGACATCGCCACCAGCGTGAAGATGCTGACCAGCATGGACACCGTGAAGAAGTAGTGGGTGAACTTGCAGATGAAGGCGCCCAGCACCCAGGAGGGCAGCACGTACACCGTGGCCTGGAAAGGGATGCAGAAGAGCAGGTAGGCCAGGTCGGCGACGCTCAGGTTGAGGATGAACAGGTTGGTGGTGCTGCGCGGCTTGCCCGGCTTGCTGCGCGCCATCACGATGATCACCAGGCTGTTGCCCAGCACGCCCAGCGTGAAGATCAGGCCAAACACCACCAGCGTGATGAAGTTCTCCGTGCCAAAGCCGAAGAGCTGCGGCGGCGGGTCCGGGGTGGGGGGCTGGGGGCCGCTCGCGTTCCCCTCGCTGAGGTTCCCGGCCACCAACTCCATGACCTGCAGGGACGTCACCCGGGCGGGCGCGCTGGTGAGGGCTGCCTGCCAGGGACAGAGGTGCCAAGGGGGGAGGGAAGTGCTTCCTGGGTGGGACCCAGCCCCGAGCTCAGAGTGCCAGTTTCCGAGCCTGAGCAGCCCTGGCAGCACTGTCTTTGGGAGGGTCTGGCTGAGTGCTGGACCTTCCCGGGCAGAGGCGGCAGTCCCGAGAGCTCAGGGGAGCCCTCCCCGGCCGCCTCAGCCCGCTGCGCGGACTCTGAGCAGAGGCAGGAGGACCGCAGTGCAGCCCAGAAGGTGGAGAGAGCCCTCTCTGAGCTTTACCTGCTCCGGATTCTTTCGACCCACTCCCTCGCTCAGCTCCCGAGGTGGCTTCCCGCCACACCTGTTGCTCTGAGCCGCTCTCTCGCCAAGCTCGCCAGGGGTTGTGCTGTATGCGCTCAGGACTCCTCGCGGGTTCCTGGAGAGGAGGGCTCCCCGGGATTGCCAACCGATTCCACTCCCAGCTGTTGCCAGGGTTCCAAGTCGCCAGCAGAGCCAGCGCTCTTTCTGCACTTTCCAGGCAGTTGGCAGGAGGGTGCTCCGGCCGCTCGGTTGCAAATGAAAGGTAATGCAGAGGGAGAAATCCGCGCCTCCGGGAGCCGGGAGCCTCCCTGCCCCCGGAAGTCACCGCGCGGAGACTAGACCAATCCTAAAGGATGGGTCCCCGCCCATCTCCTCACTGGAATCAGACACCCTGGGCAAGGTGCGAACCAGCCTCAGTCCAGCAAAAGGGTGGTTCCGCTGACCGCACAGACCCAGTGGCAAGGGCAGCTGAGCTGCTCAGAGCGTGGGCGGGAGGCCAAGGGATGAGCAAGTCTCCTCACCCATCAGCACCTTTCAATTTTCTCCCAGTGAGAGCGCTCTCCTAATAAGCCTCAGGAAGTCCATGATTGGCACTGAGAAATCCCTAATCCCCACCCTCATCCTGCCCACCGCTAGGAGCTAAAGAAGGCGGGGTGGGGGGTGGGGGGGTAAGAGAATAGCCTGTAAACAAGCATAAGTGATATGAAAGGGGAAGGTATATGCTCACATCATCCAAATTTAGATCACTTTTGCCTTACATTGCTCATCTGAGTGACAGAGACAGAAGCACCAACATGAAATATTTGTAAAGTGAAAGAGCATGTTTAATATCACTGTTGTAATGACAAGAAAATGAGCTGCTTTAGTATAGCACTGTCAGTAAATGTCATCAGAGCCCAAATGGGTTCATTTATTTGCAGCATTTATATGATTTGTCACTTTAAAAAAAAAAATCAGCATGTTTCCTACATTCTCCAAATGGCAAGGGAGTGTCCCTGCACCAGACACAGTGCTCGAAAGAACAGGTAATGCACAGGTGAGTCGGGTGGGACACAGAAATGTAGGTGAGAACAGAGTGAGTGCTGTGATAGAAGTTTGCACAACCCTGAGGCAGGGCCATCTGGAGTTTGGGAAGTAGTATATCATTTCTCTTTCTTTTTATCTCACTGATTCTGCTCTGCCTCATTTCCAGAAATATTTTAATGCAGTTCATTGAACACCTACTATGTTCTAAGTAGTACTTTACTTTCAGTCATTGTTTCATTTTGTGGACCCTGAGAAAGAAGCTACCTACCAAGAAGGACCAGCAGCCATTTCTACACAGGGGCCTCCCTGCAAACTGCACTTCAGGGAGAAGCCTGCACTGAACTGCCCACCTGCTCTGTTTTTACCATCTGAGTCAGCCCTTATAAAGAAATTCCTGGAAACCTATTTCAACCAATAGGACTGTGGCTTTCCCTGTCCATCAATTGTTACCAACCAATCGGAGTGTCTGCATTCTGACCAATCAAACTGCAAGGATTTTGAGTCCTAATTTGCATGATGATGGGCCGATCACAGGTCAGGGGTGGGAATTTTTCTCTATATAAGTCACCTTCCCCTCTGGCTGTAAGAGTACATGCTCTTTTTCCAGCTGAGGCTGAAGACAATGTTTCCCTGATGGATTTGAAACACCAAAGATGTCTCAATGAACCAGAGCAGAGCTGGAGAGGAGCTTTATCCCAGGGCCTACTGTCTCACAATTAAGGAGATTACACTGAATAAAGTTTACTTCTTCATCACACCCTTAATTGGGGATTCCTTTTGGTATTGAACTAGCCCCAATGACCATCATTTGACAATTTAATCCTTGTGATTCTCTTTTAAGGAACTTACAACGTAACAAGATCAGGGTGTTTCTGGCAAGGGAATTGTGTTATCCACACACATTTCCCTGAGGACAAAATTGAGTGTAAGTAACTTGCTTATCCAAGTATCTTACTAAAACAAGAGCACTCTTATCTTCCCTAAGAGGATGCTGCCAAATATCATTAAATTGCCTTACCCATCGGAGTTACTGTTTCTCCCAAGGAGCTCTCTGACCTACACTTTCATGGCATGCTGTAGTGGGCAGCTTCGTTGCTCTGAAAGTTATTTGTAATAATAGTTAGAAGAGAGTAGGTTGTTGTTTTTTTATTATTGTGATAAGCTCTTTTCAACATGGAATATATGTGAAGAAATTATATCCAAATAGCACATGTAGCCACCACCCAACTTAGAATAATAAAAAATTGTCAATAGAATTGCAGCTACTTTTATGTATTTCCCCAATCACAACCTCCACCCCCACCCTCATCATCTCCAGGTAACTTGTGTGGTCTATTAGTAATTTATTTATATATTTGTGGCATATGCATATGTTTTTAAATAATAAACTGTTTTTTTTTATTTATTTTAATGTTATACATCGGGTCTCATAATGCTTTTTTTCCCTGAGGGTATAATTTGCTTGGTATTACTATTGATGTCAACATTCTTTGCTTTTTATTGGCTTGCTAGATAATTTGCAAACTTCCTATGTCCTGTGACTTAGAAGTAGCTCTTGGAAACAGCACATAGCTGAATTATACTTTAAACTCCAATTTGACCATCTCTAATTTTTTTAACTGGAGAGTTTGGTACATTTATATGTATTGTTATTATTGATCGATCTGAACTTACTTTTAACATTTTATTTGTTTTCTATGTCCATGCTTCTTTTTAATCCCTTTTGTTTTACATCTTTTAGATTTACTTTTTGTTTGTTTGTTTGTTTCACCTTAAAATGAGAAGAAAAAGGAACTTGTTAATCTAACCAAAGCTGACTCATGCATTCCTTTGGCATGAGAGCTTATATAGCTGGTTCCCTCACTGATGGTGGAGTTCAAGAATCCTGGTATTTTACAAAGGTTTCAGCTCCATTTCAAAGCATAATGATCATATTCTGTGTGTCATAGGCATGTATTTCCTACTCTCAAACTCCCTGTCCCTTCTGAATAAATATGGAGCTCAATGCCAGATCCTTCTCTCTCTCTTCTCCATAGAGCTACTGTCAGCCTCTGGGCAGGTTCCTGTTTCAGCTCCATGTCTGGGAGGGAAGGACTTTCCCTGTGCTGAGAAGCAGCCCCTGTCCATCTGCAGCCATTGCTGAAACTTTTGGGCCTCTGTCACCACCTTTCTGTATTCTCAATTTCCTATCTGCTCAGACTATGGGCTTCCTCAGGATGGATGTCTTTCCATGTCATGATCTCCAGAGGGAGGTGTGAGCCAGCCTGGGAAACCTCTGACTCTCTTCTCATTCCCCAGACCCAGCACTGAGCTGACAGCTCTGCTTGCTGTAGCTGCCATGCTGGACTGCAAGTGCCAACAGGACTTGCCTCCTGGATTCTGAGATGACGCCAGTTCTCTCTGCTCCTGAGCCCCAGCCATGGTAGCCACACCAGCCAAATCCTTCATCAGCCCTCAGACTCCTCTCCTCCACCTGCCCTAAAGTGTCTGTGTGAACAAATGCTTTGATATTATCTGTGTTCTCCACTCTTGGGCTGGGAGACATCACCTGGGGACATCAAGTAACATTTTCTCACTCACAGCCACCATTTTTTGGTGGCTTTGAACAACTTATTTTGGAACTCAGGGTACCCTCTCCCCAACAAATACACTTGCATACACTCACACACATACTCATTCTCCTGCACACATGCTTGCACACACAAGAAGATATCACTTTACACACTAGAATAGCTATCCTATATAATAAAAGCGTAATATGCTAAGTGTCCAGTCATCCAGTCATCTGATTGGTCATTCAATCAATCAAAGTGTAATATGCTAATGATATGCTAAGGCCACTCAACTGCTCACTATGATGTGCACTGATCACCAGGGGGCAGACAGTTAACTGGTTGACCAGTTGCTATGACATGCACTAACCACCAGGAGGCAGATGCTCTGACTGGTAGATTACCCTGCTGCTGGGGTGCAGCCAATCAGGACTGAGCAAGACATGCTGGACACACCCTGGAGCCCTTCCACAGTCCCTCCCCAGCTGGCCAACCTCCTGCATCCTTCCCTGGCCCCAATCATACACTGGTTGGGTCCCTCAGCTTGGCCTATGCCCTATTGCAATTCAGGACCCCTTGGGGGATATCAGAGAGTCAGTTTCAGCCCAATCCTATAGGCCAGGCCAAGGGAACCTACTGATGCATGAATTTGTGCACTGGGCCTCTAGTAATAATAATAATAACAAGTGTTAATAAAGATGTAGTAGAACTGTTCCCTCATTGATGAGAGTGTAAAATGGTGCAGCCACTTTGGAAAAAGAGTTTAACAGCTTTTCAAATTGTTTTGGCAATTTGAATTTAATTCAAAAAGTTAAGTATAGAGTTTTCATTTAAGCCAGCAATACTACTTCTAGGTATAAACCCAAAGAATTGAAAATATATATCCACACACTCATGAAACAAAAGCAACCAAAAAAACTTGTACATGAATATTCATACTAGACTTACTCAAAATACCCAAATGAACAAAAAAGCAACTGATGAATGGATAAACAAAATCTTGCCTATCCATAAAATGGATTATATATATATATATATATATATATATATATATATATATATATATATGGCTAAGTGACCATCTGACCAGTACCTATGATGTGCACTGACCACCAGGAGGCAGACAATGCAGAAGCAGCTGAGCTGTGGTGACTTGGCAGTGAAAATTCTCAGGTGATGCACCTGGAACCAGAGAATCAA